CCYKKTTKKTTKGKTAAAWTKYYTKGSMAWWRKTTKGRAAARRAARRAAAAAWAATAAGAGTTAACATACCCTGGCTCGTTAAGCGCCGTGTCATCGGTATGAGTRTAAAGTGTTAYCCAATTCTTGCCGTCTTTACTGGCTTGGAATAACCAGTTTCTCARTGCAGACCTTAACAGGAATATAAMAYCATCTCARWGACYTYGTACAATGACGATTATCAATAGRTTGMATTTACTATGTCTGTGAAATAGTTTGYAAACAAAATTGTATAAMCCCTTCCAAGTATTYTCACGTACCTTCCATAACCCCTTGCATGCCGTAAGGTGTAACAGGAMGGACGAACCCACATACCAAGATCAATGGAAAACCAGGAATTCCTRTTCACAAACAATAACATAGGTTACAATTTCACGAATGAATCACTACACTTGTCAGTCACTTCTAGATACAATGGCGTTTTATGTTAAAGACCACTTCAATCTTTTCCATCAMAATGATAAATGAAGACTTACTTATCATCATTGGTATGACAGTTTAGCGCAGCGGAGTCTCTACTCAGGATATCCTCTAGCTTTCCATATGGAAGAGTCTTTCCTTCTGAAGAACTAACAACAACTAACCCAACAGATGAAGGATTCGTCCAGTCAGTRACAGTCTTGCCATKGGTACCAATCCAGTACAGGATTCCATTTTCATCAAAGTCCCTGGTATGTGACATTGTTATCTTTTGACCACTTTTGATACGACGGATGAAGTTGAAAGTAGAGCGATCATAGTCATACCACTGCTTTGCAACCTATCAAGKGGAATRGTGTAGATKAGTAAGGTCCATTACYAGGGAGGGGTGGGGTGGGAATATATACACACCATTTTAAGGAGATAGTGTTCCAGTGCACCCACAGTTGTTAATGGTTCCATCTTAAGTGTGCGTCCACTTCTGTCAATCAAGGATGTCTCTCCTGGRGCTCTTTCCAGTTGGAACCTCAGTCTTTTGGTCAGTACCTGTTAAAAAAAAACATCAAATATTGAACGAAGAAAGTTGAACAGTGCTACTCAGAGACAAACATTTTAAGAACAAAAAAGGCAAAAGTCTGAAAAAAATCTTTTTATCCAAATTTAACAGAAGGAAGCATGATCGAAACCAAAGAATATGATCTTATGTAATTGTGTCGTCTAAAAACAAATCAAGACAATGTAGAAATGTTATTTTTTTCTTGAAATTGGGGAAGCGATAACAACGTGGTTTCTTCTATTAAACAATGAAGAAGAAATGTGCCCATTAAATAATCACCTGTAATCCTGATCCAGGGCAGTCATATGTGTACACAGGCAACTTTTCAACTGATTCCAACACAGCAACAAGCTTTTTCACAAGAATAGTTGCAGGAGTTAGTTCTTGAAGGCTGAAACGAAGAAGCGAAAAGTCATCAGTGGACACACTACAAAATTCCTAAACCTCACCAATAAAGCTCCCCAGTAATAATTAGACAATAAAATTAATGATATCAGGTTTTGACTTGATATATTAAAGTTTACAATTAAACTAAAAAAAATGTGTAATTTAAGTCCGTATTTTAAGGCCACATGGCAGGATGACAAAGTCTTTTTCAAACATTGTTATACCTTTCTGTGTTTAAAGCTTCTTCAGTTTCACCAAATGCTTGCTTAAATACATGGATTCTATTTGCGACCATTTTGACCTTTAATTCTTGCGTACTGTCAGCCTGCAAAACAATTGAATAAATGTATAAGCTTTAAGCCTTTATCAATGGTAAAAAGTTCACTTGAATAAAGAAATAAGGCTGGTWTTACTCACCACATTCAGACAGTTCAACAGAGCAGTGACAAGTCCTGTGGTTTGCAGCTCATAGGAAGATACTGTATTGTCTTCTTTAAGGAGCTGTAGGAGTTGTTGTAGAGATCTGTACATCATGTCCTTCCACTTTCCATCACCATTATTGCCCTTGAAAGAAACCAAATCCATCAAAATGATAAATAAAGACTTACTTATCATCAATGGTGTGACAGTTTAGCRCAGCGGAGTCTCTACTCAGGATATCCTCTAGCTTCCCATATGGAAGATGTGTTTTTAGAGGAGAAAGGTCTAAGACCATTAGTGAGTGGTTGCCCTTTGTAAGTGCTGTATTACACTGATAAACAATAGTAAWCCATGCTTTAAATTGCTTTTTTATGTATTGTACAGAAAATTAAACTCCCTTGAGGGCAAACTCCCATTTACAGGAAAGCATGATCTTGGWCTAATCAGAGTTTCCACAAAAGTGGGATAGAACAAGAAAAAATGGATGGGAAAGGGAATGGGAGAAGTAGACAGTGATGATCCTCAAATACAGAATAATCAACAGAGGATGAGTAATGGGATACAAGGCTAAGAAATCATACACAATCTGAACATGTGTAARAACTAAACAGAAGAATCATTACTCGTGTCCTAACCATGATCTTGTTTTCTTGTGAGAGACAAGCAGCATTCAAATGCTCCACAATATCGTGCAACCTTGAGACAACTTCTCTTGGACTTGCTTGAGCAGCAAGAAGGTACTTGTCCTGGATCTCCGATGCCAAACTTTTCACTTTCTGTTTTTGCGCTTCGACCTTTGAAACAAACCTCTTTCCTCTCTTCCCAGACCARCCTGCAGCAAACTCAGGACCCAGTGATGTCTCAGCACTAAATGTATGCTTAGTTCCACGGTTGGATTCAAAAATAAACCCTGCTAAATCCTCRCGTAATATGGTGGCCTGCTGTCCGTCAGAGTTGTTGATGGAGATTTCTTTTTCTTTAGAGCAGGTCAGAGACCAGTTGCCTATGGATAACCTTGCAGGGCCTGGGGACGAGAGGAGTGGCTGGCTGGGTGTACCATGTTTGACTTGTCCTCTRGCACGCTGGAGTTTTTCTARGAACTCACCTCTGCTTTCTGCAAAGATTTAGAAATATTAAATTAGTCAGCATGAGTTAATGTAATACTCTTAGAAAACTTTCATGGAATTTTTAGTATTTAATTGGAACTTCAAAGAGTAAGGCAACCTCACATTTTTGTAAAATTTGAATCTTTTTGATTTTTCAATAGATTTTTTTCTCAAACTAAGCAAATTTATTAATTTTAGACTGTTCATTTCAGTGGTGGATCACATTTCACATTTTAGATATGCATGTAAGATATTATGGGCTATCTTAGCATACCTGATGAGTCTGAACCACCTTCAGGACTGCCACTAGAATACATTGTAGCCAATTTTCCATCCAATATAAATCTAAACCATCCATTRCTTCCATTGGACAATTCTATTGCACATGACTCATTCCACAAATACAAGCAATCTCTGCTGCGTACAATACACCAGTCATTCCAATGGTAGGGTCTRCCTTGCTCTAAATCACTAGCATCTTCTAGTATAGATTCTTCATCCTAAATAAACATAATTATTTAATGAGTTTTTTTTTCCTAATTCAGTTTATAATCTATTTAGGTTTTTTTTGAAGAGGTTGTGGAAAAGAAAGGGGAATGCACAACCAAAAGTAACTGATGGTATGGATTATTGATGATATTTTTCCCTAATGAGAGACCTTGATACAGTGGTTTCCATCAAACAAAGATTTTCATTTATTATTTTATTCCCAAATCAAAACCTGAATACCCATAGTATTTTTTGTTTGTTCAATTTTTGTTCTACTCTAACAACTTTTTTTGAAATAGCTATGTATCTATTACTGTACTCTGTTCTCTTGTGGTTCTTCATCAATAGGAAACAATAACCATGAATGGCCACAATCAAGGCAGCAATGACAGAAATCACAACAGAAACTTAACCACTAACCTTATCAGTTTTTGATTTCTGCTGTTCATCCTCTTCTTCACGAGTCTCTTCCCGTAATCCTGCCAGCTCTGATACATGGTTTATGACTCCTAGTCTTGCAAARTGACTAACAAAATCATCCAGGCTGTTCTCACAAATATCTTGGATTACTTGGAGAGCTACTAGGTGGCCATCGTCATCCTCCTAAATGGACAAAAATATAAATAAGTCTCTCTAACAATTCTTACAGTTTTTTGAAAAGAACTGTGTGAGCACCATGTTTGTAGCAATGTAAACAATCTAATAAAACCATGTTAACACCATAAGAAGATCAGTCTTCCTTTAAATTTTCATCTTTTTTAAACAATGTTTTGATTCTTGTCTTATTTTCACCAAAGAATTGAAGTCACAAAATACTTTAAACATAGTCTTCTTCATGACTCCTTGGTGAACTTGCAAAGCTGGAAACCTCACTGGTCATCTAGCTTTAATGCAAAGCCACAGAGAACCGAGAAGGAAATGGTAGTTTAATTCAACTAGATGTACACTTACCTCGTGATCCAAAACCATAGCTAACACTTCAACAATCAATGAAGCAAGATTAGGRATTTGTGCTAAGTCTTTTAACAGTTCATGTGAAGCGTAGTGGATCATCTTACGGATAAGAGACAGAGTTGCTTTCCTAATTGATGGCATCATGGTTGATAAGTAATTCCTAGTCAACACAGGTAAGAGGATCTTAAGATACACAGGGGCCATCTCGGGGTCACCCTTGACGTCCTCTGCCTCCTCTTTCTCCTTTTCATTTGCTTCTTCTTTTTTGTCATCTGTTGGTCCACCATCTTCTGTGTCTGCTGAAGTGGAAGGGGTKGCTTGTGTGGCTGTTGTTGAACTGGCCATCCACTCTCCTGGAAATTAAATTAATTTAGATTTATTGCAAGAACTAAGTCAATCATGTAGAAATAGTATCTTCTGGCAGTCCTTCTCCAGGCACCAAAATTCTTAGTCATAACAAAACTTTCAGAGTCATTGAAGTGACACAATAAAGGACAGCAATTCAAAACTGTTCATACCAGGAGATTGTAAAATATGAACAACTTCTCTATGGCCTTCATCACTCCTTTCTCTGGCTTTGTCCATTGGTGTTTTGCCATCCTCATCACGTAGGTCAGGGTTTGCTCCATAACGCAGGAGAGTCTAGTTAAGATTAACCATCAATTAWTAAAAATAGTAAAGAGAAARAAGTTATAACATTGAAAACCACTGCACAGCAAAGTCAGGAGATTTCATTTTGTAACTTATGATGATAATTCAAGAGACTAACAGCAAATGTTTTGAGTGCCATCTGTACAGTCATATACCAGTACACTGTATGATAACAGAGGCAATACCAGTACACTGTATGATGACAGAGGCACTGGAATCTAATTCAGGTCCTAGGACCTGATTTACAGACCAACAAACCTCTCTATATAACATAATAATAAGCATTATGATTACATCAGATCAACACATTGGATGACTTTTTGATGTTACCTTGGCAACAGCTGGTCTGCCAAAACAGGCTGCATAATGTAAAGATGACGATCTTTGACCACGATTTACGTCAGCACCTTTATCACAAAGGTACCAGACCTATCATAATAAACAAAACATTATACTAAAACTGTGACAAAGATATGAATGACAATTAGTTGAATCTTTACCATTTCTAGTGTTCCAAAAGCTGACGCCCAGTTTAAGAGAGTTTGTCCAACATCATCCATGAAATTGACCTCAAATCCACCTAAAAAAATTGATTTTGATGACCGTTAATGTCCAACTATTGCTATTTTTACATTTTCAACTCATGCAGCGAAATTCCATGATCCAAATGATCTTTTGAATTATTGTACTGTATCTGTAAGCTTATCTTGATTATCTTACCATTTTCAATAGCATCTATTAAAGCATCAGTATCCTTGCTTCTAATACAATCAATAAGCTGTCTATGAGATCTCTCATTKGAGCTGTCAAAACGTCTAATTCCTGATCCACTTCCTCTGGGTATTGATACACAAGACTTTGGTAATGCTTGACGGCCTTCAAAGAGGAGAACTAAAAGAAGGTCCACCAATCGCATGGTATCTAAGATGCATCTCTCGTCACCCTGAAGAGCTTTCTCTATAGCTTCTGGAAGCTCTGATCTCAAAAGATCCTAAAAGTAATATTTCCATTGACRTTAAACTTTAATATGGAAATTAATAATTGATTTTGATTTAGTTTTAAATGGTAATATATTTAWTTCAATAATATAAAGCTACTGCATGTAGATAATTATATATATGTACATCTAATTGTTCCTCCTCTAATGTGAAAGGGAATATCTTAATAAAAGATGCATCTACATGTAATTACACTGTACAAAGATGTCCAGTATGTCTACATGTAGATATGATGTCTATTTAGCAATTTAATTAATACATGTAGAATGCATGCAGTAAATCAAACAAACAAATTATATCATTATTACATTAAGAAATATGAATAGTAATAATTACAATCAATCCAATTAGTAAATTTTAACTTTTCAGTACAAATTACTGTTGGCAGAATTATTGCAGGCAGTCAAATTCATTTTTCTTACATGGGTGATGACAGGTGATCCTCTGCATAATGTTGATAATAAACTAACAATGGTTGATACTGAAGTACTGTTATTTTTAGAATCAGGTGTTGCACTAGCAGATCCACTCYTGTCTAAGTTTGGTCCTGCAGCATTGGATAATCTCTCAAGCAGCTCTTTTGTCAAGCCATGCTGAGCTAATGGTTCAGGATCAGTTCCTCGTCGTGTAAAGCGGTCAGCAAGAGAAGCAAAACATCTAAGAGCACCATCTGATACCTGACACAGAGAAAAGATATAAAGGATATTACATGGGCACGCAGAGATACAGATTTTATTTTGCGTGTGTTGAAAAGATCTCTTACAAGTGAGCGTAGCGTATAATTTATTGCTCAAACCTGAATCTCTTTTTAATAATAATTATTATACAATCTATACTTACATAAGGATCTTCATGCTTAAGTAATGTTGATAACGATTTAACACAAGTTTCAAGATTTGGATCTTGTGGCTCCATTTTCCCACAAAGACGAGAGACAACATTCATGGCAGAATGAAGAGTATCCTTATGTACAGCATTCCCAAACTCTCTAATGAAGGTCATGGCACACTGTAAGCCTCCTGCTTCAAACACTGCACCAGCTTCTCTGGTACAGATAAGTTCAAGTACCTTTGAATGGAAAGGAAATAAATTTAAACAGATAAAACAAGAAAGAATAAATAATAATTTGTGAAATATTTGTTTGATGGCCTACAATTGTAGCTTCAAGAGGAATCACTGTAAAACACTAATAGCATTCATRTCCATTAGATTTTTAAACACTTGAAATAATTAAGAAAGACAACTTCATTGTTTCTTAGATCAATTTTTAGATATTGAAAAACTTATTGAATCATACGTTTTATTTAAAAAAATATGCAGTATAATATTCTCATTTATATTAGAAAATTCAATTATGTACTTCAGGAACTAAAAAAAACCTAAACAATAATATAATATCAACAAAGGCAGTGAGTATATATTGGAATAGCACACTTTGACTGGAAATCAAGGATCTAGACTGTTCTATAAGAACTAATCTTCACAAAAAAAAAAAAAATGCAGTTGTGTAAAAAGATAAATTTACCACTGTAAAAAAATAGGTGAAACAACTTACTGATGTTTCGAAAGTTACTGGCGTTTCAGACGTCAAAGGATTAGCATCCGAAACATCAGTTAAGTTGTTTCACCTATATTTTAAACGTCTGGCATGCMAGTAAGTTGTTTCACCTATTTTTTAGCATTAAATTTATCTTTTTACACAACTGTTTCTTTAGAAACACCAGCACAGCACACAATAGTTTAAYGTCAGTTTCCACCATATTTTTTTCTAATGCACACTCACCTTAACACATTGTTCACCTAAATCTTTGCTTGTTCTTGAGGACAATTCAACCACCACTAGTCTATTACACAAGGCCTTGACAGCKCCTTCAACAGCAACTATACGCCTAGTACATTCAGCTGATACATCGAGATAGTATGTAATAGCTCTTGCAGTTACTTCTAAGACATTCTCAGGAGCACATTCATCTAGGAATACTCTACATAACGCTGGAAGAAACGCTCTGGGAGGRCAACTAAGAAATAATAGAAATAGAGAAGCGATAAACATTTTATAATGGATTTGAAATTTAAGACTTTTAATGATATTATTTATTGACAAACAATAGAGGTTTTTAGACTTACATGCATAACTGACAGTAAAATAATAATTAAAAAAAAAACAATAATAAAACAAATTAAAAATAACTCAATAAAATAAATAATAATGAGTTATTCTGTGCATAAATTCCCTTGGAATATTAGAGCTTTGTTCATAAATTCGAGTTATGAGAACCCAATAAGAGTTTAATTTATAATGGTCATTATAGCTTTAATAATTGCTTAGCAGTATGACACTATTTTAAAATATAAAGATTCAAAATTTTAATTTAAGYTAAGCATAGTAGTTTTGCTTTAAATATAATTATTTAATAACTATTATTATTGTCTTTATGGAGGCATTTTAAGTAAACAAAATAATCAATGTTCATTTTTTTACAAAAATAAAGGTTGATTTAACTCTTACAGACCTGCTTCATAATAAAATGTCAAAGTTAACAATTACATTGTATTACATGGGAGTATATTTTTACTATAAAATACAGCAAAACATTCATCAATAAAAGAATTCAAAATCATTAAAAGTTTCTTTAGAATAATAACATACATAGAAACAGTTAAAACAATTCGCCTCRATACACACACTGATAAACAAAATTGACAAGCTCATATCTATCACACTATAAATACCCCAAGACTCATTCGACAAATATGTATTTCCTTCAACACAAATCGCAATAATCTTAGTAATACAAGTTTTACTTGAAAACAAACGATGACAGTTAACTTATTGAACTAAAAGATAGAAATTAAAGCAAAACTAACCTTTCAAAACACCGATCTATGTTGTCAGACATAAGAAGCAACATACACAATTGCTCCAGTGCTATGAGTTGCATATCCCGTTCGTCTCCCTGCCCCATATTCAGCCATTCTAAAAGCGTATCTGGATCTACATCTACCATATTGAATGTTTGATGAAATCCACCAAAGGCAAATTCAGCTCMGGACGAMAAGCTTTGAGTTGTTGTTTCTAAGGAGAAGCTTTATGCTCAACAAAACCGCTCCAGTTAGTGTTTGAAACTATTGAAGAAAGTCTTTAGCCCTTTGTTGTTTTTCTTATCGATAAAAAAGGTTCCTCGTGTCTTTTGATGAGATCAAATGTYCACCGTTAGCTTATGTTCGTGAAGCAAATTCCCATAAACTAGAAGAAAACTAAATGCTTTTCAAAAAGCCTCGTGCGCTAAGGCACAGACAATCAACCTTCGTCAAGACTGYACCATTGTAGAAGAAAAAGGCTATCTTTTGATAGTAGATTCTTGATGAACTATATATTACTCCTAGTCAAAGCTTTGAGGTTTATCGAACCATTCTAAAGTAAAAATGAAAAGGTCTTTTAGACCTTCCCTTCCTCTTCGAATTTTTTGTTTCCCAAATGTTTCGTGTTTCACTTATCCTCGACTTGGTGCTAGGCTCATTCTTCCACAGCCAAAATCGACCGATTGGAAACTGGTAAATAAATTGGTTTCCCTGTGSATTGTAAAACCTCTAGACGACTGAGGACGAGCACGCTATTGCACGCTATACATTCCCTGCAAAAGTATATTTATTTTGCAGCAAGAATATCCATCACTATTAGCTCATTCATCAAGTTAGAACTTCCAAACTTCACTTGCACATAGTTTACATTGAAAGGAATCTTGTCCAGAAGTTCTAACAAGGAAACAATGATGGAGGTTTCGTCCACTTTGAACGTTCCTCGTTCTCCTGACACGAGTTTACTACTGACAAAACGGCGGTGCCCTTTTGGWGAGTCTCCACGAGGGATGAAGGTGTCTGGATCTATTAACAGTGACGATAATACGACCAATAGTCGTACTGGTCGTGGTGCCTTGAGTTACGAGAATATCGAGAACGGAGGTTAGTCAACCCGTCTGACAGCCTGTTCACGTGTTGAAATTTGCTCTAAGTAAGATAAGAAACTATAATGCATGTATGTCAAAATGAAAAGAAGTTACAGAACGACATAAAAAGTATTTCAGTCAATATTTACATTTGTAAATAAATAAAACATTGCAGGGTTTCATGAGCCTTTCAATGCTTGGGTCCATCATTGTTTTGAAGTKGCTAAGGGGGGAGAGGGGGGAGCACTCCTTTATAAAGGTCATAGGTCACCCTCCCTTCTATCTATCCCTTCCTATCCATCCATTGATRGTGGTTTGAACTTTCCCTTCTGCATGCAAAAGCAATSTTTAATGCATTGTTTAYTGTTCATGTAGGTGAAAGTGCATTCCAAATTCTGATGCAAAGCCAACAGAATCAACATCCGGATGAATCAAGCTCAAGTCCCATGACTTCAAGCAAGTGCTGGCTATGTGAAAAACATTATGAGACAATGCCTTGTGCATTCTGTGAACGAGCAGTTTGTGAAATGTGTGTTCGTCAGTGTACAAAGTGTTTTGGAGTCTTTTGCTCTTGTTGTGCAACTGTAAAGTAYGATAGTCATGAGGACAGAGCACTTTGTTTAGGATGTAACAGCGAAGAGCTCAAGAAGAAAAGAGTCAAAGCAGTTCCATGTCATCGTGTTTGGAAAGGTTAAGACTGCATCAATCTAGATCAAGCTTTGCATTAYCACTGATGCTATTCTGTATTTTTGTTTTGTAAATAATAATTTACATATGCTGTAATTATCCATTGCATTAGCCTACATTAGCCTCCTTGGCAGTAACTGTCTTTGAGTGGTTGGGCTTCCTTTGGCAAGATGTGGGGAGACTGAGGACTGAGGACATTTTTTCATCCCCATTCCCCCAGTCGTCTTCAGAGACTGAGAGTGTAGGAGGCTAAACCTGTGTGACTTTGTGATTGGATACAAGTAGAGTTCAAACACTAAAAATGTAAAAAAGTACTAACCAAATGGTGCCGAATTAAGTAGATTAGACAATAGAAAACAAAGGAATTTGCAGGATTAATTATACTGTAAAAGGTAGCACTTTCATGGTTTTAGTGTTTGCACTCTGTCTTTCTATTTTCAAAAATTATCCTTTTTCTATTTAGAAATTTTTTGTGGTACATGTACTTTGTGTAATTATATGAGAGAATTTTGGTGATTTTATAGCAGAACAACATGGATGCATTCTTCATTTCCATGTGATTATATGCTCTTTCATATGCAAATTGAAGCTATAGTTTTTGAAAAATAAAATATTGCTTTTTGATAAAGTGTTGAGTAAATAATTCATCTTTGAGGAAGAATCCTTTAATCCATCAATCCTGTTACTTCTTGCTGTTCTCCAAGCAGTGTTAATGTTGAAAGTAATGTCAAGGTCTTCCACAATGTAATGTCAAAATTTTCCACAGTGTTCTCCGTGCATACTTAAATAAGTGGCTAATTTTGATTCATTACAAAAAGTCTTAAAATAGAATTGAATAGCACTCTTGATGASCAGAGAAGACCAGAAGGAATTTTAGAAATGTGAACATATAAAAACCCTGAAGTAATTCGTGTTTCTAAAATTAAAGTCAATTAAATATTAAATACCTTTTGTAGAGTTGAAAATCTAAAAGAATTGTATTTTTCAGAAGAAATTAATGAAATTGTAGTTATTTTTAGTTAATAATTTCAGTTTATTAATCGTTCTAAACAGCTGGATATCCATTTAAATATAATTTGCAAGCAAACATGCTGTTGTAATGCTTTTAAAAATCATTAAAAAATGAAAAATCATTTAAAAATGATCTTAAACAACGAGAATATCATAATAACATAAGAACAAAAATCGGTATTAAAAAACGCATACCAAAAAGTAACTCTTAATATTAATGATGACGTCACGTATGACGTAGAATTTAGCGAACTGAATCAAAACAACATATTTACAAAAGCTTTCAACCAGAAAAGGAAACATAATTCGAAATAGAGGTATGGTTTTTATGGCACTTTTCAATATAAGGAGTGTTTAGTAAGCATGCTATATATGGCATGACATAGTTTGACCAAGGCCCATAGATTTAGGAGCAGCCGGTAAGTCTTTGAATGGCACGGATACGCCTGACATTCTATTACCAAAAATAAAGATTTTTATGGTACTGTCAAAGAATTAATAAAATTCAGTGTTTAATAGTTTCTAATAGTCGATCATATATACAAAAAAAGAAAACAAATATTTTTGTTGGCTTAACCCTATCAAGTTGCTTCGTAAATATTGTTTACAGTCCGRTGAAAGCCACACTATCACAAGTGTTGCATATAATGAGCACTCGCTTGGATGRTCGATGACGTCCTAATGAACATTTTTCAGATTTTCCTTACTCCATTTGATCCTTTCTACTAGCCCAGAATAGTTTACAAGACCCTCGGGCAAGGTAGATTAGCCAACTTTTAGGTTGTTTATTTCATTTTGGTTACCACCAGTTCTTGTGACCATCAGTGCAGTGGGGGGGCCACATCACGCTAGATGTGGGAAGTCACGCGTCACGCTGTCAGCATCATATTTCTTCGCGATATGCGTAAACRTTTGCGACAACACATATGGGCTGTTTTTCCAATAGGATTTTACACGTTTGCAAGTTCACAAAACTGTGTCGACCAAGGTCAGCTTTAGAACACACCCTTACACTAAAGTCCATTCCAAACGCCCCCGTCTTCAGCAAGGGGGTTGGGGACTGCTGCAACGAGGGAGGAGCGACGCAAAAACGGACTTTCCACCGTAGATCCGGTCTTGCTGTGGGTTGCAAGTAATTTTCCCTTTTGTCTATAAATAAAAAAAAACTGATTATTTCTATTTCAAAAAAACAAAAAAAAAACAAACAAACAAAAAAAAAAACAAACAAAACAAAACAAAAAGCAAACAAACAAAAAAACAACAACAAACAAGTAGTTTGATTTTTCATCAGTTTCATCGCGAAGCAATATCACTCCTGATTCAGTTCTAACAAACAWCGTCTCCATAAAATGAACCCCTTGTTGCATCGGCGTGATCAGTCTTCCTAATTTSATCAGCCCCTCTACAGTGAGCAATGACTGCAATCTAGTGTAAAACTCTAGTGTAGYTTATGGTTCTTTATATCAAATATATCTTTTGTCGCTTACAACCCGACTCTATACTTGTATATACGTATAGTCAATGAAACAAAACTTATCCATAGRACGATCCTCAATTTTTCTATTTACTCGCTACAATTATTAATTTACTGACTGATTTTATGATTTCARATTGAACTCTAAACTCGTGAAACAAAACTACTATTATAGTGTGATGGTCAAATAAACACAAAAGWAAACAATGCACTAAGAGAGCTCTATAAGTGTAATATCTATTTCACGGAGTTTCCCTTTACTGGTGAAAATTTGTAATGTTCAAAAACTGGTCCGATTTTCTTGGATAACATAATGCTCTGCGTGTTTTTACAAGGAAAGGGTGGTTCTTGCGGTATTGTCTATACGCGGAGCAGGTCACATTACGTTAACACGTGGTAGAAACAAYTGCACAACACGCGGCAGTTTCAGGTAGTATTCATGGATTGTTACTTAAAGCGAAAAAATAAATATAGACAAAAAAATCAGGATTAAAGAATAAATATATAAATTTGTTGGAACTGGGATACGATCATGTCGTGAAAATAATCAATAGATTGTAGACTTTTTATGAAAAATATCGAAGACTGACAAAAAGGATTCGATACTTTGTCTGTTCATCTAAGTTACGAAATTCAACGTCCGAAAAGGCTCAGTTTTATCGCTTTGGCATATCAAATGCGGGTAAGACGGTTAAGACGCTGTTACATATTCATGTCCGTATGACGTCAAAATCAAACTTTACTTCCGATGTGACKATTAATCCGAATCTGAATTACCATGTTAGTTTTGTAATCAACCATAATCGAGCTGTAGACTTAACGCGAATTGGATAAGTGTTCAGTTTCAAAACGTGTTTATGATGACGCAAATGACTTGAAACTTTCGTATAAAATTTCGCAAGGTAGGTAGTAATCCGAAAATCTTTTCATTTATCATCAGTTCCTTTCCAAGTCTACTTTCAAACAGCATACTGTGACGTTGATATCCGTGTCTCAGTTGCAGCAGAAGCGACGTGAGGGTCACAGTTCGCCCGTGAGCCGAGTTTCCCAATCTACTGACCTTGAAAGACCTCGAAAAGAGCGAAAAAATCAGCAGCACGTGCAAGAACACAATCTTATCACGCAAAAAGTCATTACATATCATAATAAAGAAACATTTTAACTCATATATTAAAATTAGAATGTTTTATTTCAAAAAATGTTCATGATCGAACGGCATATAGTGGGCACTACATTAAAAAAACAAAAGAAAAAAAAAAAGAAAAAAAAAAGAAAAAAATGGAAATATATAAGTGAACTTTTTCTCTTTTTCCACAAATATTCTGCCTTTTCATGATGGAACAAGTACATGTCACGCTTTGGACGTTGTGACGTCATTATATGACGTTTATTCATAGAAGTATTTCACTTTTCCTAATAATCTTTGACGCCTCCAGCGATAGTTGATTCTGAGATAACAATTTTTGTGGAGAAAGATATTTGTGTTTACTTCGACATATCAGAAAGCTACATCCAAAAATTTACCACARAAWCTTTAATATTTAATGCGCGGTATTGCGAAATAGTCACGTACATCAGACATGACWTGACAACGAAACATAATACTTGTAAACAGAAACTTCGAGTGACACCTAGGACATAACCTTGGTTGACCGACAGCAATATTATTGTCTGCTTTACATTAGGAATCATTGATATTGCAAAATCGAAAAGTAWTGTTGCAGAATTCTAATCTTTTMCTTGCAAATACGTTTTAAATTTCGAAATTGTGTATGCTTTCGTGAAAGTTCTATTTACGTAAGGTTAGCGTTACACTAGTGAGGCGAGCATTGTGTAGATGGATCTAGATCATGTTTCCACGCAACATGGCAAAATAAAGCCTGTGATTGGCTGAATCCAAATCGATGACGTAAGTACATACATCAAATCAAAGGAATAACCATTACATAAGAATAAATTACCGAAGGTTTTGAAGGTATATAGTAACACTGCAACTCGGGGCTTTCCCAGAATAGAAGTGACTAAGAATCTGCCAACAAATAGCAATCCGGGAATTTCTATCCATTGTCTGTGAATAACCGCCCACTTTCAAATAACATTTAAGAATTTTGCCTCGTAATGTACGGCATGTATTATCCGATGAACAACGATCGAAGCTACATCCAGCTAAACAGAGTTATGCCTGYACCTGTGCTAGATGACTCGGACATTGAATCCAATGTAAGTATGCGATTTTACTTTGTGCAAATGTAAAAACACCACTATTAGGCATAAATATGAAGACAGATATTTTTTTTTTTATGGCAGCTAACATGTCTAAAGATTGAGTCGGTCGACCAGCGACCGCCGCGCCGTGCGTCTTTTGTGTAACGCTCTTTTGTTCATCAATGCGTGCGTGAATTTTGTTATTTCGCTAAATTTTGCACAACTAAAACGTGAAATAACTTAACTATGTGTTATTTTCTACGATTGCCTAAAACGCGCACATTTTATATTTATTTTTACGCATTTTTTTGTAAAAACACTTTATATCCAGATTGAATAAAAATGCAAATGCATTCACATAAAATAAGCTCGCGTCATGAAATATCACTCAACATTTCTATCATTTTATCAAATCTGCAGCTTTCTAACGAGGATAATGGCAGTTTTTCTGAGTTTTCAAACCCTCACACTCCTCCTATGATGCGAGGGGCTACTGATGAAGTGAAACAAGAGTTGCAAAAGGCAATTCGCTGCAGAAGAGTAGCGCAAGGTCTGGAGGAGATGCCAAATCTAGAAGCGAAAAGACCATCTTCAAATCAGGTAAAATATATGTCGATTTTTTTTCTTTTTCATCTCTGATCTCATATTTATTTCATCGTTGTCTATGTGTTTGTTTTGAAATTGCAAAAAACATGAACTATAACAAAGATTTCTACCATTCCTTCTAGCTATCTGTAGCCGAACTCGAGAAAAGAAGATTACGGAGAGAGAGAAATAAGCTAGCTGCATTCAAATGCCGACAGAGGCGAAAGGAGCACATGCAGGCTTTGGAGGATGTAAGTGCTTAATTCAAATGCTAATCAAAACAATCGCTGTATGTACTTGAGAAAGTTGACACTCGTTTAGCGACGCGTGACTTTCCTCACTTTTTATTTGAGACCTAATGTGTGCATATTAAGTGGTCAGCTTTGTTTTATGTCATTTTTCTATTTTTCTTTCTATTGCAATCGGAAACGGAAACGAGTTGAATTGTGAATGCATTTCCGGATTCAACTAAAGCGAGTGGGCGAAATTTCCTCTRCAGCTAARGGGAMTATTGAGAGGGTGTGTGGGAGGACTCGGGGTACATCAAGCAACGAAGGAGTGGCCGCGTTGCAGAGGAAACATCCATAAAAGGAAAACTCATATTTCGCCTTTTTAGTATATGTTGTTTTCTAGTAAAAGACCCCAAGATATAAGTCTTTGTTGTATAAAATTCCWACATTTTAATTTACTTTTCTATTCAAATCTAATGGAAGTTTGTCATTGTCCCTGCAGGAAACAGAAGAGCTGAATGCTGCTAAAAGGACTCTAGAAGCAGAAATATTGGCTCTCAAAGACAAAAAGAAGGAACTTGAAGATATGTTGAAATCACAYGATTGTATGTTGGTAGTAAACTCAAGTGATGAAGATGAGCACAAGTCAAAATAAAGCCATGAGTCAACATGAGATGTTTYACAAAGAGAGGATCTAGTGTATGTAGCTTCCAAGAAAACAGACTCTAAAAGAAAAGCATGAAACAACAAGAATGAATAGAGCAGCCACTATTACAGCTACATTGCCACAAAGGACATTTCATGATGTCAGTTCAAAACTTTGTCTTATTAGTTCTGTTGTTTTCCAACCTCAATATCATCAATGAACCCAAAGGAGATAGGTTTAACATTCATAGTTACAGAAACGTGACAGAGTTAAGTTTGCCATCTTATTAGGAGTAAGTCTACGTCCCGAGCATTTTAGAMTTTTTACACAGAAACGAATAACTTTTATACAATACATGTATATCAAAATAGAAAAGAGACTTGATAAGTCCTAGCATAAATATTATCTATTATTTATTTTAATATAAGCAAAAACAGCTTTGCTGGTCAAAGTGAGTAACACATACATACCAACAGTTTTATTTATGATACAACATATTATTTAGAATAATGTTACAATTATAAATCAAAATAGAATTATAGATATTTTCTCTAGAGGAGATAAATAATTATTATTTAAACAGTTGAACTGACACAAATAAAGATGTAAAAACAGAAAATTGTGTGCATTTTTGTAACTACTAGTAAAACCCCTTAAGTCATGAAAAAGTAGCAAATTTAAAAATAGCATTAGAATGTATCAAAAACGCTTTGTCATGTGTCAAGTGCAAGGTCAAGTACTTATCATGAAAAGAGATAAACAAATTGAACATGTAATTGTTCTAAAAATAGCATATGATGTAATGCCAACCTCAAGGGATTGAAGGTGTTTACTTATAACTGACAGCTGTTTAGTCACATGTTTGACAGGCTAAGACATGATTCAGTCAGCAATACGGGTTCAAGCTGTTGCAATCTGAATTTGCTTGGTCATGCTGAGTCACGAAATTTAAAAACAATTTTAAAATATATWTTAATAATATCTGAACAATTATTATTGATCTCAATTTTTCTCCTCCAAGACTTTSKTTTTTTAATCAGAATGTTAAAGAAAACTTTCAAAAATGAAAAATATTCAAACAATTTTTTAGCTGGAATGGTATATGAAGGGTTTCGTTTTTTTTAATTGACCATGTCCATAATATCACATAATTTTTTATTAAATACAAAATATTGATCTACACCTTACTATACCAGAAAGGGATTGAAATATTGATGATAATATATGGCATAAATACTTCATTTTCAACAATTAGACAAATAATCATTTATAAGTTTGTTGAGTGCYGATAGGCACATCATAGCTTTGATTATTTATCTAACATTTTATGATAAACTATTYATCACCAGATAACAATCTTCCAGTAATCATCTTCACATATTTTCATTTTAATGTTTTTTTCTATTATGGCTAAAGCTTTCAGTAGTTATTTTTTCAACTACTAGAAAGACAACTGGGAACCCTCCTTTTTTTAGTTCAAATGGAAGATGCATTGTACAAGTGCAATAGTTATTCATGGCACTTCATGCAAGTTTTTCTATGATTACACTTTTTGTAAAACAGTGTTATGACCTAATCATCCAACACACACACTTAARCAATAATTAATGACTTGACAATACTCATTTGTAACATTACTTAATTTGGCACACTTGAAAAGGCATTGAACTACATATTTAGTGACTCAGCACTTTTGAGCACTTAAAATAGGTATTTAATTAAACCATACATTTGTGTTTGACTTGTTTGCTTTTCTTCTTTTATTTTTTCTTGTTTCATCTTTTGCATGTKATCATGAGACAGTGTTATTTTTGTAAATGTGTGAAAAAAACCAGTACTAAATAAATTACTATAATATTGCACATTTTGGTTCATGCTTTTTTTAAACGAAYCAWTAGAATCAGGAGAAAATAATATCCCTAGTCATGAAGTATGTTAGACCACAASTTTAACACACCTGCTGAGGTTGGTTACTTGTCATGACATATTGTTTTGCCTGATAAAATTACTCTAAAAGTTCATGTAATTTGAGTAAATTCATGTCTTAATTAAGGTAGAGAGCAGCTTTGTGATTAAAATTTCTAGCACATAAGTGATATTTTATCAATTACATCATGGGTTAATCTGTTCTTGTTTTTGATTGGTTGAGTCTGTTTTGTTAATTAATATAGCTGCTGCCATTTCGAAATTTGAAATGAGAGCAAGGTCTAATAGACTTTGTTTAGAGGGATGTTATTTCTGGTAGTGAGGAACAAGCAACATAAGATTGCTCCTGGCTTTCCAAGAATGTTAAAAATACAATTATAACTATTGCAGACAAAATTGATGGTTTAAATCTACAAAAACAAAATGTCACTTTGTTTTATCAGAAGTAGGATTAAATAGTCCTTTTTTCCTTAATATAGCAAGCTTTCTTTGTTCTTCAATTCTTGGGTCAGGAGGGGATACAAAATCTTGCCATGTTTTCTAAAATCATTGAGCAAATAGTATTATTCATTGTTTGAAAGTTACTATATCAGATTTAGTGTATCATATACTAAATATGAATTCTAAATGTAAAAAATGTCCTTTTGCTCATATTTCAAGTATATAAGAAATATATCAGAAATTATGGGATATAATCACCAATAATTTTTTCAGAAAGTACTAGTGCTTGACAACTTCAAAAAAAAAAATATTAGCAATGATATCCCATAATTTCTGATATATTTTATATCTTGGAATATGAGYCAAAATGATCATAATTTCTGTATATAGACTTCCTGTATAGTACTTTGTATTTCTATTTAATTTTCTTTTATATACAAACCAGTTCAATGTGCAGATTGACTCCCTCAGGAAGATTAGATTGAACAAACTGTAGCCAAATATCAGCTTTCTCTACAGGGATTTCTTTGATCTGTTAAAATGAAAAGTGATCAATATACTCTGACAGACATTTTTAAGGAAATCATGAACAAATTTTAAATTTTTCATCATGTCACATGTCAGAGGTAGGCAACCCATTTAAATGAAATAGAGTATTTCACACAAAACCAACATAATGATTATTTCTATCTTTGTTTAATCACTTTGTGAAAATTATTATGTAATTACTAATTTAATATTAATTTCTTATCAATTCACCTGCATCATGCGTCCATGTTTCTTGAATTCATATGTGGTTTTATGTTTCTTGTAACTGTCAGGTGGATTAGCAATAGTCTGACTTATTTTTTCTGTTGGTAAATTAAACCTGAAAAAAAAAATCATATCACCTGTTGAATCAGATCCATCAATCCCTRCCATGCTTTTGAATCCCATGCTTTTCTCCAAGTCTCTCTAGCTCTTCATATTTGAGCAATGGTGATATAGATTCAAAAAAGCCAGTTATTTCAAAGAGTTGAGAAAGCTGACAGTGATAATGTGAGGAGAGAGACTTTTATAAGAAATTTGACCTTCAAGGGATCTAACTTTCTCTCCTGTGAARTCTAGATCCTGAGCTTTSAAGTCACAAGGAAATTCTGAGYTTTATGAGMCWAACTTGTTTATAATAACCATTCTATGACCCTACACCGTAAAATAATTCAATTCTTCCGCATTAAGGTCATTTCCCTTTTGAGCAATGTTTTTTTAAATGTWATAATGCTTTATCCTATGAAAACATACTTTTTTGTTACATCCAGGTCAAATATATGACTTGCTCCTTTTATAAACTGGCAAAAGTGATCCAACACTGCTGCGTCGTATCCCTTTACAGTCACAAGGATATTTGGGTATATTAAATCTCTTTTCATTAACCGCTTCTGTAGGAATAATGCAAAATAATGAAGAAAAGAATTAGCTTASTTAATATAATATATCAAATTCTAAACTGTTCGAAACTCCTTTTTTTCTTTTCCCAATACCATATTGAAAATAATACCTGYGAATGTGTCTTTTCATCAAAGTTTCTGCATTTATTGAACTTGTAATGATAGATACAAGTGAAATATTGTCTTTGGTTACAAGTTATCTATCATTGCCAGCTTGATAAATGTCTGGCTGCTTTGCATGGCTTAATTATCATTCAAGATGTCTACTATTTGACAGTGAGATTAACGCTAAGTATTGTATCTTTTGCATTGAATTTGCACTTAGAAAATAACGTAGAATACAGCTGATAACCAAAGATTTAGTGCATAAAACTGTTCATCATATCATTTAGCTTTATYAAAATATATTTATAAAACTCAGTTGTCTCACTACACGAAAATTTGCACTAGGGCTTTTGCACTAGGGCTTCTGTACWAGTTGCAGGCCATTCCATTATATATCCAYACCCCCCTGGTCGAAGCCTTTTTCTGGGGGTTCTAAAAATAAAATTTCTGGGGGGTAAAACGTGTCAGCACCCTTGATCTTTTGATATTTCCTGGGGGTTGAGTGAAAAATAACTAAATTTCTGAGGCAGTTAATGTGTTAATGTTATTTTTCTAGGGGGTGCTGTGACATGATCTCTTCTATAAGGGGGGGGGGGGATATAAAATGGAATGGCCCTTATAGACTTACCTCAGTGTTCACTAATAAGGTTGAATATGTATTTCTATTTATCAACGGTTTCCATATCCTTTTCTGCCTGTAATTTGAGCAAAGGTCGTAAATCATCTCTCATATTATTATTGATAACCATTTTTGCAAACTAACCTGTGTTCAGTTGTTGGATACACGTGCGAAGAAATCACACATCTAAGCAACACGTTTGCCTGCGAAAACCCAACAAAAACGATAAAAATTGTTCTCAATTTTTTGTTGCTGCTCATAGCTTATTTTTAAAATTCAAGAAGTCACCAACCTGCGCGAATATCGGGCGAAATCTTGTAAAACTTTGGCAAKACATCGCTTTGGTTTTAATTTTACTCTTCGTCCGCCATTTTGGATCCAGTCTCTCTCCTCTTAATACTTGAGTAGCCAAGCCTTTGTYTTAACCACAGTAATCCCGTCGTAATATTTTGAAAAGTCAATTAAAAAAGGAAATGATTTATTCGCCTTTTAAAATTTCTTGGATAATTATTTTCGATACCTTAAAATCAATCAAAAGTCTTAAGTAATTGAAGTTGAGAACTTTTGCGGATTTCAGTTTCGAAACTGAAATTAAAAAAAATCGCTCAGTTTTAATTACTGAAAGTGTCATCATATTCTTTATCATACGTGTAATTCAATAACCCTTATTCCTTTCATATTGAAGAGGCTGTAAGGAGGCTTTTAGCATCATTCCGATGTGGCAATTAAAATGAAAGACTGCGTCACAGTGCGTCACTGAGTGCGTCATACTCTGTCATTTGATACCCAAAGATTTGATTGCAGGGCAACTGGTTGCGACATAACAAATAGCTCATAAGTCGAAATGAGTTCTCTTTTCGATTCACTGTTCTATTTTTGTATGGTTTTGAAAATATATCGTTGTCATCATTCCAATGTTGCAACTCAGGCTGCACGACTGCGTCATAACTGCGTCAGAGATAGTTTCACTAGAAGAACTGGCTACACGTGGTGCGACCAGRACCGGAAGTGCGTATGCAGGAGCTTGTCTTGCAACGCCGTTGCGACACAAKTACTAGCAGAATCTGATATCGAAGCAGAAAATTATAGCCTGGTATACAATGTGTAACTTTCCCATCAACTTGCMATATTTAATGGCCAAGGTAATCTTGGAGCCCAGAATCATGACATTGCAATGTGAGACAAGCTGCTGAGAAAATTGCTTATAACAACACATAAATAGGAATGAGAAACAATCCGCAAAACGCATTTAAAGCGCGAACTCACGCAGAATATACAGAATATAGAATAAAAGATAAAATAGGATTAGCGCAGCGAGTGCACGCACGATACGTTTACCGAGACGTTTTTCCGGTTTACAGTTCTCATATCATTTCACGTGCGTGAAAGAGTTATAAGCAGCAACACTCAGCTATTATTCTTTAGATATTTGTCGATTTCCGTTGACTGTATGCAAATTATTGATGTTTAAATAAGCTTTAATTAATCTAATTTCCTAACTTAACTTTTACAGAATTGACATTTGTAGACGCAATGCCTGGCTTTATAATTTAATTGTCATTTACAATGGCGCCATAATATACATCATGGTCCGTAAGATTTGTTTTCATCAATATGACTTCATAACTAATAACAAAACGGAGCTGGATTTCAGCCTTTTAATAATGGCTTGCGTTCAGTAGTGTACCCTCCTCTCGCAGCCGATATCTGTCTCGTTCCCGGGGAGAAACCTGGGAACGAGCGGAATTACGGCTGCGAGGGCCAGGGAGAGTAGTTGTAGATGTGTGAAAACACTAAGAATGTATAGCGAATGATGTATCAGCATGTGTACAACAGTTTCCCAACCTTGTACCCCCCTTCTCTTGTGGATAGGCATCGGATTAGATTTCGCCGCAGGAGGATTGGGAAAAATACATATCTATCATGCTCAGTCTACCAAAGCTCTGGGCCAGAGGGCCAGCGAGGGCCAGAGGGCCTTCATATGACCTGTTCTTAGGGACTGYGCAATATTTAATTGTCAGGAGGAGCGGGGGAAGGAGCCAAAAAATCAAAAAAGGTAATAGTACTACCCCCCTCGCAAATAAAATAAATTACGCTCTGCCCCCCCTGARTTTATTTATTTATTCATTATTCATGGTAAGTTTTGAAGTTTTCCACTTCAATAAGTATTTTCCCAAAAAGCACAGAATCTGACACCGTTGATTTTTCAGTTTTCAATTAAAGTTCTAGCTAATTTTAGATGTGCTCCCCTCTTTAAGCACATGAATTTGATTAGATTTTGTCCCCTCCTCTGGATTCTCATTCCCCCTCCTGATAATTATTGCGCAGTCCCATACATTGAGAGAGGGTACCCTTGTGTTAGGGCCTCATTTGCTTTGTGTACCAAGGTCACAAAGGACGTCTATAAACAGTTTATGAGTCTTATGAGTCTTAACTGAATATTTTCATCATAAATTTGTCTCTTCCATATGTTCAACTATTTCTTGTGTTAAATCATTCCGTATTGTCAACGGAACACTTTCTTCAATAATTTTTCTCTTCATAATTTGGCTGTTAGTAATATTCTCGGGTATTTTGTACAGTTTTTCTCTGCTCCCAAGTGGACTTCTGTTAATAATATTGATGTTTGTGACACTGAGTCGCTGGGTCTGTGTTGCTGAATATCCAAGCTGGTCACGTGAGTCTGAAATCGCCTCGTCATTCATACAAAGACACTTGCGAATGTAGGGCAGATTAAAGAAYTCCCTCACTAGACGTTTGTCGCGGACGGCATAGATAACTGGATTGGTACAGCTTCCCGAGAGGGCTAATATAAGACCTAACTGGATAAACCAGTTTGGCGGGGTCCGTCTGATGAACATCTTGCTTAGTGTAGTGAGAGTATAAACCGCCCAACAGGCTGCAAAGACGCCTAGGATGACTAAAACTGTTTTAAAGATGGCTTTTTCCCGTAGTAACCTTATACCTTCTCGGATTTTATCCTGTTTTCCCTCGTGCTCCTTCAACCATTGTGAATATTTCTTGGTATAATGATATATCATGCAGTATACTACAACCAACGCGACCACAGGTATCCCAAACGCAAATAACGCCAAAAATAACGAATAGCTCCTGTTACTTATTCCCTTTGCAGACCAGTTTGGCTTACAGGAGAATGTGGCTGAATCCCGTATGATCTCTCCCCACCCCAAAAGGGGTGCCAYTGCCCAAAATATTGAATGTAACCACACAACCCCCACAATTCGTTTTTTCCAACGTTGCGTGTAGGTATCACCACTACGGTATCCAAATGGATGTTTTACAGCATTTAGTCTGTCCATGCTWATRATGCATAGAGTGGCAATGGAAGCGTTAACAGAGGTCGATAAGATAACAGCATAAGCATGACATAAACCTTCMCCTAGGATCCAGTCTTGGTACATTGTAGAAACCATTAGAAGAGGCGTACAGAACATACCTGAGAAAATGAGATAGATAGGTAACTACATTTTTATTTTGATTATTTTTATATTTCCTATACTAGACTTTTATTTTTATTTAAGAAATATAAAACTGCGCGCGTCTCTGTCCTCTGATATAAACATGGTGGGACTGGAAAAACACGAGTGAAGCAAGGTTAGAACCGAGTGCTTTTTTCTGCGTTTATCGAGTGAAAAACAAATTTTGCCGTTTCTCTGTCCTCACGGTTGTCAGCCAATCAGGTCGCGCGTTATATATCACAATATCAAAAATAAATATATAGATATAGATATCGAGCGTAGTAAAAAAAGTGAATCATACTTTGCGTGCGTGACCAATTACCATAATGAAAATAATTCTATTTAAACTCAAACATGTTTTCTCACTTTTAATTTCCGCAAACATTCAGAATTAAAAAAAGTGTAAGTGTAGCCTCTTCTTGACCGAGAGGAAATGCTGACTTTAGTGCCTTAACACAGGGATCCCCCCGAAGAGAGGTTCCTTCGAAGAATTATTGAATATTGTACCCTGGTTCCAGACACTTGGCTTGGTAAAGTTATTGATTCAAAATGTTGGAAGGCCATACAATTTAGTAAAATGCTATCTATAGTAAAACGTGCGTGCTATCAACCTTTTTTTACAACTTATTGATGTCATATTTAACCTAAATTTATTTCTTTTTAATTGAATTTATCGTTGATGATCCAGTGGGAAATTAAACATTATGTACATATGAAATACTCAAATTAAAGCCAAAGATGACGGGAGTGCGAATAATTGAATTGCGCATGAGTGTCATTCAGGTGTCCATTRACTTCCAAATTTAAGATTTCAACATGTTATCGCAAGAATGTTGATAAAAATTAATAATAAAAGAGGCGCAAAAATTAATTTACTAACATACAGCCTCGTTTGTATTAAAATAGCTTAGCCCGCTGTGCAAGAAAGGTAAAGTCTACAAAAAACGTACATGGCAAAAGTGTCAAATCTACCTGACASTAAATATGAGAAGGAGGAGAGCACCTGCGACTACTTCGTTATTAATGAAAAACATGCATTTAAGTTAAATCCCCTTTTTTTCAGTAAAGAAACCCATAGTGTCCATAAGAAAGAGTTTGCTTGGTCTCAAACTATGAATTTTTCATTATTGAAAGTTCAAAGCGCTGCGCAACACTTTTGTATTCCACACTAATGCAGTTGCTAGGTTACACCTTATGCGGTATAATTTCCGGTCTGTGTGGGACTAGTTAGGAACTAAGTTCATTTATCAGATATTGAAAGCTTCCGTTCTAAGTAGTTCTTCCTCATATATTTATTTTTCTTTTGAAGRCATTCGACAAAGCATTATTTGTGATGTCTTATTTTCAGATGTCTACTTATAATATTTTATTTTTCCGACCGCTGAYWWGAACAYAGCCCCCACGAAGAATCCACGTCAAAATAGAAAGCTTMCTTCTCAAGGATTTCACTTCCCGGATTTATTCCGCTTTTGAAGAGACGTTAATTGTAATATATAGAGGATATTTTCAACTTTAATTTTGAAGAACGAGCAGCTTGAGTTCACAAACCATATTCCATTTGAACACCATCTAGAGTCTTGTCCTAACTCGCGAGTCGGAAAAAAAAGGACAAACAGATTTAAAGGGATAGGTAAACGACGCATAAATTTGCAGGTACTATATTGAAAAAAAAATGGCAAAACATAAAACATCGTCAATATAATTCTGCCAAAACGCCATATTTTCGACCAAAGAAGCAGCAAATCCAAGTGCAAAAAAAAAAAAAAAAAAATTGTCGACAAAGCCTTGTATTTGAAGGTTCAAATTTTCTCATTTTCCTACTAACGCCAAATTCCCGTAAAAACATCTTCTTATTCTAAGCAAAGTTTTCTTTCACATTACAAATGCATTATTCATATCCAACTACGATTTGTTTTAGAAGAACCCAACTGAGAGAGATCAATGAACATTTTTCAATGTTTTTGAAACAAATTTGCACCGGCAATTCTATATATTTACTTTACTTCAAGGCGGAGTCAYTATCTTCTAGTATTAAAGCGCCACTACAGCATAGTTTTTTCACTAGCCGTTAGGTAACTTAAGCCGGCCTTTAGTATCTTAAAGTTAACTCACCTACTAAACAATCAGATGTAGCTAAACTTGCGTAGAAGATGTACATAGAAGAGTTAAGTCGCTTGGCTCCTAAACTGATGCACATCAGAACCACTACATTGCCAGTAACAGCAAGGACTGTTATACAACTCCACAATCCAACTTGAACAACCAACCACACTGAACCAGACGAGGAACTTCCACCATCTTCAGTGTCATTCATGACTTAAATATCGCTCATTAAAGTGATTTTAAGGAATCAAAACTGTTCATCAACTCGTATTTACAAGTTGAAAACGGGACGACGCTGRGGTTCAGGATGTATTGGTTGATTTGGAGAGATCCGGTTTCAGGCCATTCTGCACATGGTCGAGCCTTTGGCCGGTCCTATAATTTATTCTACCCCAAACAAACCTATTGACAAAAGATTTAATTCGCATTACAAAAGAAATTCGCTTATGCAACTATAAGACATCCCAATTATACTGATCAAAGTAATAAMTCCCGATTCCTTACACTCAGTTAACGGTAAACTTCAATCATAKTAGACGCTGGCTAGGAAAGGTAAAAAGTGCCCTTCGCGCCTCCAGCTTGTTGCATTAAAAACATAACAAAACTACGCGAAAATAATTGGCATCTCAGCGTGTGAAACAATGCACTTCACTGTGTTTTCAATAGCTTTTTRTGAGTCTTAGTTGTTGCGTGTGTCAACATGTCACGGCAATACTAGAATACTGTAAATATATATATTACGCGGGAACTGGCTCGCGATGAGAGTKCTCTGTATTAATACATCATAGATAGCATTCGCACTATTTGGTTTGAAGTCTTCTAAATTATGAATAGAAACATATTGAGGTAATAAAGGACTTTTACGCGTTTTAGCTTCAAATATTTACACAAACATCGCATTCCAGCCGACATCGCCACACGTTTAAGTAAATCAGTAAGGACACTTTAAATTATCATTATTTTCCAAAAATGTTCTTASGCAAGCAAGATCAATAAGGCTAATAGCCCATTTATATCAACTTTATCATAAACTAACCTTAAATTCTCCAGCAATCTTTACTTCTACCCACAGCGAGCTATGGTCTCACATAGACTGCTTCAGGAAGAGATAGTTAATAAATGTTAGAGAAAGCACGCATGGAAATAAATATCACGCGCCCAGCCGTTCCCAATGGCGAAAGATTGCCTTTTTTTCAACAGCCCACACTGTCATGCGGTAAATAATCTAAAATACAATATCCAGCTGTTGGCGATATTAGTCGGTCCTAATTGCTGTTGGTATTATGAATAAAACACGTATTTAATACATGCAAGAACGACGGCTAATTATGATATTGTAGAGAGTTTTGTTTGTACCAAAAGATTATCGAGTTTAGTGCAGTGAGAAACCTCAAAGCTTAATGAAATGCGATACTGKCGTAAGTGCCGAATTCACAGTAAAATGACGAAAAAATATCGAGGATTGAGCTGATATAATTAAAGCCAGTATACGGCTGGAATTGAGAGAACTATTTACCAGTAAAAAAAAACATAAAAATAATTATAATAAAAAAAAAAAAATAACAAAAAACATTAATTAATGTAATAAGAGTGAGAAAGAAGAATCCGAAAATATATATCAATTTATATTGAGTTTTGAGCCATTATAATCAGCCATGAAATTTGAATAGACAGCCATTTGAAGCCTTTTAAATGAGAAGCGGCAGAATAAACATTACATATTGACAGAAAAAATGGATAAACAAGTGTACTAATAAATGAATGAGAAAAAAAAAAAAAATAACAAAAACAAAGATATATAAATATAAACAAGCCATTTCCATTAATACGAAATTAATGAAAGATGTTTTCGGCGTAATGTGTCGCACTTTTGACTTCGGCTTTAATTTCCCAACCCTGGACTGATTAAGTATCAACTCCAAGCGGAAGTACTTGTCAATCTACTGCATAATAACAGCTATTTCAGGCTTTGCACTTTTAGCCAATCAAAACGCATAAATTTCGAACAGGTCACATGATTGAATTAAATTTTATAGATAGAGATGCTGAATGACAAGCAAAAAGATAATCTTCGAGAAATTGTCGCGACTTTAGATTTCTTACACTGTGCTTGCATACCCCAGAACACTGACAAATTACTCAATATAATCATATAACCATTAAACTTTATTTGTAATCCTCTAAACTTTATAAATATGAATATTAAAAAAAGTTAAATATATATATTGTAATTGAATATGTGTATTTAAAAATGTTCATATAATGAATTCCATTTATACTAACTACAAACGCTTTGCATTTTTTTGAGCGTTCAACTATTCAGTTCCCTTGGGCATGAAAAGTATTTGTGGAAACCGCCTTTGTTATAACAAGGATGTCTTAAGCTATATCAAAGTACACCCAGGAACAGRTGTTTGATTTGAAATACGTGATAATGCATATTATAAACTAAATTTCTCTAAATATTTTATCTGCTATCGCTTATTCAATAATAATTAATTCATAGTAAATGTCATAATTCATAATAATAATAATAGAGATGACATATATCAGAATATATATCAGAATATCAGAATATATATTTATATATCAGAACGCTTTAGTTACAGCTGTGGATTCTATGACGAGAAATAGCCAATGGTTTGCACCCTCTGCTTCGCTTTAYCAACTCTCCACAGCATGACCATCCTTCGTTGACTTTGTAAGTTCCCGAATGCTGCGTCGTAACACAGGTTCGGGATTTCACAGCTGCTCGTGGAATCTTCGTGCGACAGCGATTGCACGACACTTCATCGAGTTGGCTTCGTAGAACACGAACACAGTGCGATAGTCGTCGGATTTTGTCTTCGGAGTCTCGGTTTTCGTCGCGAGATCTTTGTAGGTCATTCAATGCCCGAGTCACGACGCATTTGAATTCTAAAGAGTCCATGGATGAGAATAAATTCGGGTTGACTTTGAAGCCCCATTCTAAGTCGACTACTGTYGCTTCTTCGAGGCATTTATGYTCTGTTAGTAAACGCTTTGATTCGGTGAAGTTTGCATTTCCCTCTTCATCCCACAAAACCACGACTTTCAATTTCTCACTGTCTTTGAATAGTGCATTTTTTGTACCGAAGTCGAGCAGCGAGTCCAAAAAGTTATAATCGATAATACTTCGTCGGAACATTGGAGACTTCGTCAGAACTCGCCACTTGTGTGCGAACACGCCGACGGCTTTGTGATAWAGTTCTTTGATRCCTAGAAAATCACTGGTTTTTATGGCATGGAAAATATTGTGTTCATCAAAGAGCGAGTCGTTGTCGTTTGTCATTCCAGAGTAGAGAAAGCGCAAAATGGGYTCAAACTTTCCAGGAAGCGGYAATTCAATCGACACGACGTCCATTGAYTTCTCCTTGAACTCACCATTGAGCAACACCCTAAAGTACTSGCTTCGTAACACCAGGTAATGAGAGTGGCAGTAAAATTTCTGGTCGTCGACGCATAGTATCTTGTCAGCGTACCTTGGGTTGTTAACGTATTTCAAGGCGTCTTCTCCATCAGTTACAGTAAAAACKTCATTTTCAGACTCTCTAGCTATGACTGCCTTATTTTGTAAGATATGCACCACAAGTCCTGCACTGTTAAGCTGCGTTATAATTCCACTCAGTTGCTCTTTTATACTTTGTTCAAAATCACTGTCGTCGAGCGCTTCGATACTTTGAGAAGACATTTTGACCTAGGTGAGCTCTKCTGCTTGCAGTCAGAATGAATGCAAAGAAAAACTAACTGAGCTTTTATGAAAGGTCCTTAGGACCGATYGTGCAATCTACTTTTCTCGAAAGTATGCATTTTCAGTTCGTTAGCAATTCTTCGTTTTCAGCATACGTCACAGCGGCCATCTTGGATGAACTTCAACAAAAGATTTCTCATTAGTATCTATTGTTCATTCCTCCAACATGGCCGCCGGTCTTTTATCTTTTGAATATCATGGGAATGATTGAAAACGATCAATTCGATTGAGGTTTTCAAATGCAAATTCAATATTCCAAAGCGTGGCCAAGCAAATGGATGAGATTATTTTTTGATGCAGTGCAGCGCAAGACACGGTTTCAGCATGAGCCACGCCCTACACAAGACGCATGTAAAGATGTTTCGCAACACAAAATTATTGAATTTAAATGGTTTTTAAATGCATTTTCCTTTAACGTCTTCAGGATTTCTGAAATCTATCGGACATACGATGGGATTTTTTGCTGCAACATAATCAACGAGCTTGAGAAAACATTGCAGTAAGCATTCTTGATGTGCATGTTAATGGCACCATCTTGCAGGAATTTCCATTATAGTATATTTTTGTTTATTCATCCAACGAGCATTATGACGATAGTACTTCGCTCATGCATTTCTCATGGGATCTGGCGCGCCATCATTGGTCTAGTGACCAAAAAACCGTTCGAAAAAGGCCATGCTTACATGAGATAAGATGCCTTGAGGAAGTAGGGCCAAAYTCTTTTGTTTTTCAATCTCCAGGGAAAAGAAAACAAAAGAGATTGGCTCTACTACCTAAGGACGCCCTATCTCATTAAACAGAGCCTTAATCGCCCTAAAGCGCGTTTTAACATAATTTCCTCAGGTGAATTAACGACAATCAAAACCGCATGTGAAGTTGTAGTCTCCTCGCAGCCGTTCTTAGTGGCGGGCTCCCTGTCGTTCTTAGTGTCAGGTTGCCTGTGGGGCGGGGGACAGTGAGYCCRCCACTAAGAACAGCTGCGAGGAAACTACATGTGACGGCGAATGGAACGATTATATTGAGACTTGGCCTTAAGAAACATATTTAAATGTCCGCGCATGTCTCTGATCTGATATACACACGGTGAATATAGACAGTGCAAGAGAGTCAAGTCTAGTTTCCTTTGCTTCTCGAGCGCTCCGTATCTCCCACAATGTTTTAGAGAACAGAGACTCAACATTTCATATTTCCTCAGTTTTATAAACATTTTCTGTCTTTTTCTCGAGCGCTATACGAGGCAAACCACATATCTGTCCTCTGACAGGAAGACTATAAACCAATTAGAGTGCACGTTACAAAAACATTGCGGATTTACGTAAATAAATGATATCTCTATAAATTGATTTTGAGTTCCTATTTCAATTGCTTCAAATAAAATAGAAAGTATCCCTACAATGTGTTATTCATCGATAGTTCCTCTATTAAAACCTTGACATAACATGACATAACATCAGTCGAATAGCGACGATCATTATCACGATCATTATTTAATTTCTTCGGCTGCGGAGACACAGAGTCTAACAAGGTTGGTATATTTCAGGATAATTAGATTGCTATATCAACTAGCTTGACAGTACTTTCCAGGCATTTGTCTAATTTGAAACCAGCTCTTTCAGACTTATCCAATAGRCCATTTAAGAAGCTAGTAAAAAATCATTGAAAAAAACGGCCTAAAATTAGTAAATTTTCCAATTTTGAAAAGACGCATGCAGCATTTAACACGAGAATTAACAAAGAAATGCATATGTATGAAGAGGTTGTAACTACTCAACATACATTTCTTTGTAAATTTTTGTGAATTTGAGAARCTTTATCTTCTCTAATTTTCAACTGATTGTTCTCAGACATTGTAAATTTACTAATTTTAGGTCTTTCTTTTCAGTTGATTTTCACTAGGTGTGTTCATGAAATGGCGAACTATTCGTTAAATTGGCCGACTGTCAAACGCCCATAAGTCACAACCTTGGTGCAATAGTCCGTTTACAAGTAATATAAAGCCACTATTTATACAGAGTAATAAACTATTGACATAAACCCAGATTATGAAATATTCTAGAGTTTTTATTTCAAAAATGAATAATTCTGCCTTTGGTTTCTGGCACTTTCATATCTCAAACGTTCGAATNACAATGTGTTTTCATCGATAGTTCCTCTATTAAAACCTTGACATAACATGACATAACATCAGTCGAATAGCGACGATCATTATCACGATCATTATTTAATTTCTTCGGCTGCGGAGACACAGAGTCTAACAAGGTTGGTATATTTCAGGATAATTAGATTGCTATATCAACTAGCTTGACAGTACTTTCCAGGCATTTGTCTAATTTGAAACCAGCTCTTTCAGACTTATCCAATAGACCATTTAAGAAGCTAGTAAAAAATCATTGAAAAAAACGGCCTAAAATTAGTAAATTTTCCAATTTTGAAAAGACGCATGCAGCATTTAACACGAGAATTAACAAAGAAATGCATATGTATGAAGAGGTTGTAACTACTCAACATACATTTCTTTGTAAATTTTTGTGAATTTGAGAAGCTTTATCTTCTCTAATTTTCAACTGATTGTTCTCAGACATTGTAAATTTACTAATTTTAGGTCTTTCTTTTCAGTTGATTTTCACTAGGTGTGTTCATGAAATGGCGAACTATTCGTTAAATTGGCCGACTGTCAAACGCCCATAAGTCACAACCTTGGTGCAATAGTCCGTTTACAAGTAATATAAAGCCACTATTTATACAGAGTAATAAACTATTGACATAAACCCAGATTATGAAATATTCTAGAGTTTTTATTTCAAAAATGAATAATTCTGCCTTTGGTTTCTGGCACTTTCATATCTCAAACGTTCGAATATCAATCAAACACTTTTAGRTAAAATTTATCTYAACTAGATTGTGTCCTTATGGCWGTATAGTACAGTAGTATAAGCACAAAGTCTCGCAAACTAACTTACAAATGTATATAGTTAGCTTTTGGCTGGGTATATCGAGAAGTGCATGATTGATAACTTGGGGTGATAGCCTGGGTGCAGTAGTCCGTTTACAAGTCATATAAAGCCACTATACATGCAGGGCAAGAAAMTATTGACATAAACCCAGATTATGAAATCTCCTAATTTCAAATATGAATAATTCTTGGTTTCTGGTACTTTCATATCTCAAACGTTCGTATATCCATCAAACACTTTTAGAYAATAAAMTTTATCTCAACTAGATTGTGTCCTTATGGTAGTATAGTACAGTATTCGACTAGTAAACCTCAAGTCTCGAACACTAACTTACAAATGAATATAGTTAGCTTTTGACTTAAAATACACAACAGTGTGGCGGGAATATCGAGAAGTACATGATTATTGATAACAGAGGCAATCGTCATATTTTGGGGGGATTTTCTCGAGGTTAAATTCCGACCGCGATTGAAGAGGCATTTGGTGACAATTGTATTCATAACAATTTCTTGCACTTTTACTAAGTGTTTTTATGTTAATCAGAAACATTGGTCAACCATGATCAACCTTTATTTTATTGAATATCTTGTTTTAGAGACCAAAGATGAGCCACAAAACAATCTATATGTAAAGCTGTCGGCCAACCACAGAGAAAAAAACCCTTCGTTATCGGGAGGAATGTTGCAAAATTTACAGCTATCATTGTTTTTTTGCCTGAAACTACTCGCATAGTAACTACAGAGCRTAGCAGAATTATKTTCCTAACCTTTTTCGAGTTTGCTTCAGTTTCTTTTGTGTGGCATCTTGAATTCAAATTGTGTTCACTGTTCAAGTCTCTTCTGAKTTCATTCCTCTATAACACGTRTCTGCATTCGGACCACTTTCCACCATTTCCAAGGTTTTCGTYGATGGCTAGATACGGAAATACATAACCCGTATTCTCGAAAACAACGCAGACTATAGAAAAATTGTAGTTATGRCAAAGAAGTTTGTACGTTTGGCCTTTTTGGATACTTGAAGCGTGCTACAATGAGCTACAAGTATCTTTCTTTCTCTACRTTCTAATGAGTTTTCTTGCGTGGTATTTTTGAATTGTTCTTAATTTCCYGAAGACGGATGTGCCTATTGAAAATGTACTAGTCGGGGCGGTGCYTTTCATTATTAATCAAAACTCTGTCATCAATTTGTTAGCTTGTCCATTTATTCTCGAAAAGACATTCAAATATCCATTCATCCATCCAATTTCACTAAATCATTCATTTATGAATGATGATATAAAAGCATCTAAAAAAAGATATAAAAGCGTGTTTCACCAGAACGTCAAAATGTTAAGTACGTCATTAAGACAATATCGTACATAAAAATGCCAGAAAGGAACAAATATTTTTTTTCAATGCATATATTAAGATTGAGGTCATTATTAAATCATAACATGACTGTCTTCTAGAAAAATGACTGTTTAATAGGATATCAAAATATCGCACAATCATTTCGTATCGTGTATATCATCACAAACCCGTATATCAAATATTCCTATTAAAGCTTCTTTAATTGGTCTAAATCCACAGAAAACGACCAAATGAATCCCTTATTTCCTTGGAATATGCTGATATTTGAAGTATTTTGGCTGATATATGAACATAACAGCCTTGATATAGTCTATCTCCAGTGAGAACGGACCATTATTATGATCTGCTAATGTAATCCCAAACGTTCTTATTTTAGGAAAGTCCATTTGATGATCTTGAAGATACCCAGAATTAGTCAGAATAAATTTACTGAATGGCATCTTTTGGAAGAAAAAAAAAAGAGAGAATATGCTTTAGGATTTTACAAAAGAACCTTGTGTCATAATGTATCCACACCCCACTGATGATGACACTGTTAAAACCAATCACTAATATACTAATAAATTAAAAAAGGGAATATATTTGGCATCTTAACTTGACTGATTATTGTTTAAAATTCATTTCATAGTTACAGCGGAAACCGTTGCATCRCAACCTCTTTGTTTTGAAGTTTGACTGGATTTTGTTCTTTCTTTCAATCTGAGGGGTGGAGCTTTTCGAAARCWCGTTCAATCATTGACTGATTAGTATCAAGCTCYGCCCCCAAGTCGCAGAAAAACCTAAATCCCAACTATTTCCTTTGAACATTGAAGTCGCGATGCAACGGTTTCTGCTGTAACTAAATAAAGAAGCATAAAGCTTCTAGCAAATTAATGTTTCTTTTCTAATAGACTTCATTAGTAATTAATGAATCTGCTATTCCATAAACACTAAAACATATTGTACAAAATTTATAAGA